TAATGATGAGAAAGAAGGAGGAAGACGAAGACCAGCAAGTACTTTTCTCGATTTCAGGCGACTGCGACTTGATGGACTTGAAATCAACAGGAGATTGGTTTTCTTGGGCAGGCCAACAAGGATCTCACTAAGTTGGCTGTTGTTTAGATCGAACAATGGCTAATAGTCATTGGTTCAATAATTTTCCAGCTTCTGAAACAGAGTTTTTAGAAATGGAAGAATCTGATCATCGCCCATTAGTAACATTTATATCAGACAAAACTGAAGCAAGGCGTGGCTCATTCATCTATGATAGCCGACTAAAAGACAGAGAAGGTTTCGAAGAGGCTAACTTAAATCTAATACAAAGGATAGTAGGATGTAGAAAAGAGCTTTCACGTTGGAAGCGTCTTCACAGGATCAGAGAGATGCACATTACGGTATGAGCTGAATCAAGCATATATAGATGAAAAAATCTATTGGAAACAAAAGAGCAGAAATAAGTGGCTCAATGAAGGAGATAAGAACACTAAATATTTCCACTCTCTGGTGAAGACTAAGCAAGTTAGAAACCTCTTATTCACTATTCTAGATGAAACTGGTGTTGTAAGAAGAGGAGAAACATAGATTACAGAGGTGGCTGTTCGTTATTTCTGAAATCTTTTCAAATCAGAACCTGTTTCAACGAATTTGTATGACCAAGTCTTTGAAGACTTCCCATCACGGATAACAGATGAGATAAACGAAGACCTCACACGACCGGTGACATTGGAAGAAATAAGGATATCTGTCTTCAGAGTAGGTCCACATAAAGCACCAGGACCAGACGGGTTTACCGGAGCATTTTATCAACACTTTTCGTCAGAATTAACACCTGGTATTATTCACGAAGTCAAAGATTTTTTTGAGAATGAGACTCTTGATAGCAGACACAACCATACCAATATCTGCTTGATACCAAAGGTTGATCCTCCGACAACAATGACAGACTTTCGACCAATTGCATTGTGTAATGTATTCTACAAAATAATCTCAAAGATATTGGTGAATAGATTAAAGAAACATCTTTCAAATGCTATCTCAGAAAATCAGGCTGCATTCATCCCTGGGAGAATGATAACGGACAATGTCATCATTGCACATGAGATATATCACAGTCTGAAATCTCGGAAATGACATTCCAAATCGTATATGGTGATAAAAACAGACATCACAAAGGCTTACGATAGACTAGAATGGAAGTTTCTATAGGAGACAATGCAATGAATGGGATTCAATGGCAAATGGATTCATTGGATCATGCAGTGAGTCACTTCAGTTAGCTTCTCGGTCTTAAACAATGGTTCCCCAAAAGGTTTTATTCAACCAGAGCGAGGTATCAGACAGGACGACCCATTATCACCTTATTTATTTATACTCTGTACAGAAGTTCTGTCACATATTATAAATAAAGCAATGTTTGATAGACGCATCAGTGGTATTAAACTAAGCACCAGAAGCCCAGCTATCAGCCACCTACTTTTCGCTGATGATTCATTATTCTTTGCACTGGCGAATGCAAAATCAGCACGAGCGATCAAAAGCCTATTAGCATCATATGAAGCAGTGAATTTATGTAAATCAGCCATTACGTTTGGAAGTAAGGTAAACTCTGTAACCAGAAGACAACTTCGTAATATCCTGGGAATACACAACGACAGAGGAGGAGGAAAGTATCTTGGAATACCGGAACAATTTGGGCGCAAAAAATCAGAGTTGTTCCAATACATCATCGAAAAGGTACAAGAGAGAACACAGGGATGGCACAAAACATTTCTTTCACAAGCAGGAAAAGAAATTCTCCTCAAATCAGTGGGTTTGTCTATGCTTATCCATTCCATGAATGTCTTCAAATTTTCAAAGGAAATTTGTGATAAAATCAATAGGATCTTGGCACAGTTTTGGTGGGGCTCAACAGAGAATCAGAAAAGAAAACATTAATTGGCATGGAAACGACTAGGCATCTCCAAAAAAGAAGGAGGTCTTGGGTTCAGAGATCTTGAGAACTTCAATTTAGCCCTTCTTCGAAAACAAGCCTCGAGATTACTTCACAGGTCGAATAACTTAATGGCAAGGGTTCTAAAAGGAAAATATTATCCTGAAGGTAATATTTTGAATGCTACGGAGGGGAAGAATACATCGTTCGGTTGGAAATCAATTCTTCACAGCAGGAGTTTACTTAAGAAAGGTCTGCGATTCATTATTGGAGATGGACGTTTGGTAAATATATGGAATGATCCTTTCCTACCAACTAACCCGCCTAGAGCACCACTACCAAGGTATACTGAGGTATCATTATCAAATGTATGTGATTGCTTTACAAATGATAAGTTACTATGGGATGAAGAAAAAATTTGACATTTGGTTGCCGTGGAAGATGTGGAACATATACTGAAACTGAAAATCTTCCCACATAACACGTTAGATTTACTCGGATGGAAATACAATAAAGATGGAATCTATACTGTTAAATCAGCATATTGGGTGGCAACTCACTTATCGGCAAATCAAGGTATTACCCCTCCATTAGGTGACACTGAAAAAAAATAGACGATATGGAGTCTAAACACAAGTCCAAAGATAAAACATTTTCTATGGAGGATATTTTCACGGATATTGGCAACAAGAGATTATTTGAAGAAACATCACATCAGCCAACATTCAGACTGTCAACGCTGCTGTCGAGAAGAAGAAACTTTGAAACATCTATTTTTCGATTGTGAGTATGCACAAGCAACTTGGAGAGCATCTAGCATAATGAACAGTTCTCTTTTTAATACTACAGTGAGCTTTGAAGACAAAATGCAGATTATACTAGATCGACATGTCAATACGGCTACACCTTTTACAAAACAAATGGGGCTGTGGATACTCTGGCGTTTGTGGAAAAGCAGAAATATTCTTCTGTTTCAACAAAGACATATCTCTTGGGAAACCTCTGTCTGATTAGCAAGTCAAGATGCTAAAGAATGGCTTAATACGGAAGCATATCTTGTTAAAAACAAGATGCAGGATATAAATGCAAACGGAGATCAAGCGCGTCGACATAATCAAAATTGGATCCTACCAGAGGAAGAGTGGCTCAAATGTAATTATGATGGTGCTTTTAACACCAACACACTGGAGACCAAATCAGGTTGGGTAATACGCAATTATCACGGCACTTTTCTTGAAGCGGGGTAAGCAAATAGATCACTTACGATGACACCATTAGAAAATGAGCTTCAAGCTCTAATCATGGCAATGCAGAATTGTTGGAGTCAAGGGCTACGAAATATCATATTCGAAGGTGATTACAAATCAATACCTGATTTACTCAATGACACAAGTCTCGATTTTCATAACCATAATTGGATTAGAGAAGCCAGATTTTAGAAGGATGGGTTTGGAGAAGTTAAATTTAAATGAATAAATCGAACAAATAACCAACCGGCAGATAGATTAACAAAATTTTGCCATGCGACTAATGGTTATTTCCAATTTCATTTTTATATCTCATATGTAATAACAGTTTTGTTACATGCTAATTTCAGCAATTTTCATTAATAAAATAATAAGTGTTAAAAAAAATTAAAAAAAATAAAAGATCTAACAACTACGGAAATTTACAGGAAGACAAATGAATTATATATACATACATATATGATAAGATTATTCAACTGGTCTACTGAGATGTATGATAAGATTATTCAACTGACTATCCAGTTTAGAGTTTAACGAGATGCTTATATTTAAAGAGCGAAGTACAAACTGGAATCCTATTCACTAGTCTAATATCTCACAAACAAAATGAATAATAAGTACAGTATTAACTACTATTAAAAACAACAAAATTCAGAAAGTTATATTAATCTACTAAAAATCTATTAAAATAGTCCAAGTTGGGATAATTTACTAAAATTTATTCATCCCATTAGGAAGATATTTTTGTTTTCACTAAAATATGCAAGTACGAAACTTTTAATTAATCTATTCGAGTGAGTTGTGTTGTACTTCAATTAATTAACACACATTCTTTCAGTGGATTTATTTTTCTTTCACTATAAATCTTCCACAGGCTTCCTACTAAATCATTCTTATAACTTGGCACGGCTCAAATATAGCGAGCTTCTTACATCACACACAATTTAGACCAAAACTACTTACGTTAAACCAAAAAAACAAAAATAGATGAAACAAAACCAAACTCAAACTCGACCTAACTTATCTGTCAAGTTTTATTTTTCCATTTTGCGGCAGATAAAGTACTTAAAAGGTCAAGTTAACAGAAGGGAATGGCCAAGTTTTGGAAACAGCGCTTCCTTGGGGCACAAGCACCACCACCAAAGCTTCCCTGTCCTTCCAAATCCAGATTCCATAAACCATCCCAAATAGCATAATCTTCATTCACATAAGCCTCATGTATTGGCACCGGAACCACCGGGTTATACCCGTTACCATTTGGGTCATAACCAGAACATGTTGTTGAATGTGTGATCTGATGAGGAATATAGAACGCACCGCTTTCGCCACTACTGCCGCTACTACTGCTAGTGAAGGTGTTATCACCATTGTTGTTATTGTCATCTTCTAGTAAAGATATGATCTTTTTCATGTCGATTTGGTTGATTTGAAGCAACTGTTGTTCTTGCTGACACTCCATCTGTCTTTGCTGCTGAAATTGTTGTCTCTTCAAGATTCTGTTTTTCGTCTTCTCCGCATTATTAGTTGTAGATTTTGTCTTCTTCTTGAAATGGGTTCTCCAATAGTTCTTGATTTCGTTGTCTGTTCTTCCTGGTAAACTACGAGCAATCGTTGACCACCTATAATTACAAAATCATTAGACAAAAGAACCATGAAAAAATTACTTATTTTAGTAAGGCTATAATTGTTCCAAACTTCAATCTTGATGGAAAAAAGGGTTAAGGAAAGAAAATTCTATATAACACACTTTATTATATAGCATGTAATGCAAATAAACACAATCAAAGCTTTTTTATTAATTACCTGTTGCCCCACTTAGCATGTAACTCAAGGATAATGGTTTCTTCATGAGGAGTGATTTGTCCTCTCTTAAGGTCTGGTCTAAGGTAATTAACCCATCTTAATCTGCAGCTTTTGCCATTTCTCTTCAACCCGGCGAGCCTCGCCACAGAATTCCATCGGCCCTCGCCGTGAAGCCGCACATAATCGATCAGAAGACGGTCTTCTTCGGCAGTCCATGGCCCTTTTCTCCAACCTTCTTCTACCATTCCCCATCCTCCTCCCATCACTCCCCACAAACTCATCCTTTCCTCTTATTCTTTAAGTGAAAGTTAAGAAAAATCGTATCTTAGGTCTCCTTCTTCCTCAGACCCACCTATATATCTGTTTTGTCTCTCTGTCTTATGAAACCTATGTGTGCCTCTGTTTTGCCTTTTGCGTTATGTTGTGTTTTGTTTTCTCTCTGCCCCTTTCAATATTTATAGATGCACGCACTCACTCTAACTCCTTGGCTCCACCACTTTTTTGTTTGTTTTGTATAGAGATAGATACATACTAGTGACAAGTCACAAGACAAAAATCTTTTTACATTTTTAGAGCTATGTTCTTTATTCAATTTTATAAGGTTACCACTACCAAAAAGAAAGATTCTATGAAAATTTACAATTTATAAAAACTTTTTTCAATCTCAATTTACAAAAATAGTTACACAAGCTCGTAAATAGTAATAAGAATAATTAAATCGATTCAGCAAGAAGAAAAGAAAAAGAATTGTAACATAGAAGGCAAAATTGAATAATTATTATAAGGAAAAGATAGAAGTTTAGAACTAAGAACTTGAGTGCTCTCTTTAACCCTTTTCACAGGTCGTTTTCATAAGTCTCCCTATTTATCCTTTTCTCTGTCCATTCAAATCTTCATCCCCAAAGGCATCATCATCCAAAATTACTAAATTGTCCCTTTTGTTACATTTGTTTTGGATTTTTTTTTGGTATTTAAATAAAGTGTATAAAAATATCTAAACAGAGCCATATAAAAACTGAGCCAAAAACTAAACCGGGCAAATCAAATAAAAACTTAACCATAATATTCTTGACCTTAGTTTATTGGTTTAACTTTAAATGTTATTGTTAGTGGTGGAAAAAAAAAAACAAACCGAGATGAACCAATTCAAACCAACCAAACCCAAACCGACCCTAATCAAACCAAAATTAATAGTAAAACATTTTGGTCAAAATTACAATCGACCCGAATGGTTTGATTTGGTTTAAAACTGAACCGAACCAATTATATTAATAACATAAATTATTTTAAATCTTATTATTTAAAAGATTTTTCAATTCTTAAAAGTCAAAACTAAAAAAAGGTTATTTGAATTATTAAATTTACATTTTAATTTATTTATATTACTTTTTAAAAATTTATTGGATTTTATTTATAATATATTAATCAAAATATTTAAATCAAATTAAAATTAATCAAACTGAACTAATCAAATCGATTAAGTTTGGTTGAGTTTCATTTTTTTTTTAATTTTTTTTTGTTTAAATAAGTTTGATTGAATTTAGTTAGAAATTTATAATTTTAATAAAATTGAATTTACCGAACTGAACCAAACCTAAATCGAACCAAAAGTAAATCGAAATACCCACCCCTAATTATAATTAATCACCCAAACTTCATCATTTTTATGACCACTAAACAAGGATATTACAGGACTATTAATAAATCAATTTCAATATTCATGCAGGATTAAAGAAATGATGTTAAGGCATCGGGTAACATGGTGTAACCGAGCATCAAATCCAATAAAATAATTCTTTTATGCAAAAGTTGTTTGGAACTTCTTTTTTCTTGCCACGTATATGATCTATTAATATATATATTATTTTTTTTGAATAAGAATGATCTATTATATCATAGGAGTTTAATGCAGTGATATTAAATAATGATTACTGATATTATTTAATCAACACTTTCTGTAAAAGCATAAGTAAAACGTAAAGAATTTGATGGTGCTTGATTATTTTAAGTTGATACACATAATCGAACCACTAAGGTTTCTCCAAGTGTCGAGGAGATTTATACATGCGATCTTACACTAATCTTTGCTGTTGTCGTATAAGATTCGTTGGATTCCACATAAGGAATTATGGCAATATAAACTATAAAAATAACTAAAAAGTTATGAAAGAGTTTATGGTCTTTGTGCGTCACCATGAGACAGGTGGTCTTATAATTATCTGTCTCTTAGATATTTGTAAGATTGTAAGTACTCTCTTTTCTTTCTTTTTTATAAACTATTATCAATTATTTCAAAAAACTCAATGTCTTGTGTTTCCATATTTATCCAACATTACTAAAACATTTGGTCTTATATATCGTGCATATGGAAATTATGTATAAAAAAAGTAATAGGACAGTTGAACATAATTTTTTTTGGAACAAATTTTTGCTGTTGAGTCCGTGACAAAACTAGAGTCTTATATTTTTGCTGTTCGTGTAATGGTGGATCACAAATTTAATACGACAGTCGAATATTATCTTTTGATGCGATGAGAAACATAGTAGTTAATCAGAAGTATAAATATTAAAATAATCTTCTAGAACTATATAGGGTCAGATTTAAGAAGTTTTCAGGCCAACCGTGACCGGCTGGCTGACTGATCCACTTATTAGTCAAAGATAATAAGTCATTTAAATGGTAAAATAAGTTAGAACATCAAATCATCATAACTTATTTTTTTTTCTAGTAGTCGACCAAAAAGAAAACTAGTAAAATGTAACATGAGGATATGAATCTAGTTATGATGCAACAATGGTACCAACACAAAGAACAATATGAAACATGTTACAAGCTATAATCATCATTATTAACTGTTTCGATGGATTTTGAATCTGTTACAAAGTTTGAGAAAACTGTCAGGACACTTTGAGGATTAGGAAAACTTTTAGGCAGCAAACTGAAACCTACGTTGGAGTCAAAGACGATCAAGTATTTCTGACATATGGACATTGACATCACTAGTAATTTGTTGATGCATATATGTGAGGACTTCCCAATAGTTCAAGTCCATATCAGCAATTGTATTGTCACTTTGTTAGATATGTTTGAACCGCGTACTAAAAGTGTAGATTCTCTCTTCTAAGACTCGGCAGACAGTTTTTTTGGTTTTAAGTATTCTAATCAGATTTTGTTTGCAATGCAAATCTACAATTTTAAATGAAATATCAAAGAGTTGCAGATGTGAAAGTATCTCAACGGCTCAGGGCACTAAGGAGGCGTGCCTATAAGGCGTCAGCCATATCATTCACCGATTATAGATTTAACAATTTTTAATTGAATGATTAGAGTCATTACTCATTAGACACAATCACTTTTTTTAATTAATTCGACATTATAAATTGTTCTAGTGAATCCTCTTATAAATATTTTGTCGTTGGAGATCATTTAAACTCCGTGTTTCGTACGGGTATTTGTATTGTTTATGACTTTTGTACTGCAGAGAAATGTTTAGCAGCTAAGCTTGTGATTTTGCTAAGATGTGCTTTTACGATAAAATAATGTTTTGTTTTTATTGTATGTCTTATCAGGAGAAAGCTTTTCCTATTTTGTCCACAATATCAAAACAAAAGCTAATGTTTCGAGTGGCAATAGCATACTTGCTAGAGAGGACTGTTCAGTCGACAAATGTTACATTTAAAAATACTAACATTTGTGGTGAAGAAATGCTCTAAAATAACAAGTAACAAACTTACTGTATATGAATTGGTACTTATTCGATCGCTTTCTCGCCTTTCACCCAAATTTATTTGGTAAATTTCTACTCATAATTTTAATATTTGTAATCTTTACAAGCATGGGTCTTTAACACGTACAGTAGTAGTTGTAGTAGTAATTAGTAAGGGGCTATGAAAACAGAAAAAAAAAAATAGTTGTAAAGAAAGGGAAATGAAGTTGGATTAGAATAAACGATAATTTAACAACAAAAATATTACAAGTTACAACGATTTAGAGTCGTACACGTAAAACAAATAGAATTTCGAATCCAACGTTTCCGCGTGAGATGCAACTTGGCAAGTACTTTGATCAAATCATCGTATTCTTTTGAGTTAACTATATAATATTTTTCGACATTTTTATATATGTTTCTTCTTTTTGGTTACTTTTTTTTTGTTGTTGTCGATCAAAGATAAAGTTTGCACGATTCTATGAAATAATTTTTAAAACTATAATAATGTTGTTCCTATCTAAGTTGAAAGTGCAGGATGTGTACTTGCCAACAAGCTTCTAGAACCTCGGTTTATTATTGTTGTTCTCATAGCTTTGGTTATATAGATGGACTCAGAATGACTTGTAATTAATAATTATATTAATAAAGAGGCAGTGATATATACGTTATAGATGAAACCATATCATATGTTGGACTCAGTAGTCAGAATTGACTTGCAAAGGAATCTCTAGGCCATGTCACAAATGTAGCTAGTAGCTACCATGTCTATACGGTTTGCGGTTTACTCCGGCTCCGATTTGCTAATCCGGTTCAAACTCAAGTCTGTAATTGTAAAAGTTCTCGAGCATCATACTATCTGAGTATCTGTCTTCAAATGCATGTTCAAGACTTCTTTCCCTCCGAAAGAATTTATGTATCTCCTTAAATTTTCTGCTCTCGAACAACAAACCAATCTGTGCATTGTTCTCAAGTCCGTTTCGAAACCAATATCTCTTTGACTTCTGTATTTTGATTTTAGGACTAGTCATTCTTCATATTTTTCATTTAAACGTTGAGAAATCTTCGCAAATAGATTACTTAATAAATTAACTTGGTTATATTAACACTCTCCGAAATCCGCCAGCCAAACATATATAAATATAGTTGTAGCAAAAGTTTCTAGCAAGAGAATCAAATATATCATGAAGCTTTTTGGCCCCCTATCAATTTTAGTCTTTTTTATTAATATATGATGATAGAGAGTTTCACTAGAGTATATAATATAAGCATATAGTTTAGCATTGAAATTTTGTTGTTATTGAACATAAATCTTCCACTTGTTGTTTATTATAAACATATGGTTATTGCGGCCATATTCGTTTGTCCTGAATCCTGATAATAACAAAGCACTTGGGTCATATAGTTTACGAACTAATTAAGTAGTATGCTTCAATCAGAAATATAAAATGATTCCAAAATCTTCAGATGTGGGGTTTAGATATCCATCCATTCGAGATTTTCTGTCCAAAATACTTATCTATACCTTTTTCTATTAAAATATTAATTGACAGTCTTTGTAGAATGTATATAAG